TTTATAACTTTTTAGCCAGGATAACATTTCAGTAATATACATACAGGGTGATGATGATGATGATGATGATGGCGGGTCATTTGTTGCAGCAAACGAAACATTAGACCGTGAGTTAGAGAAACTCGCATTAATGCGACCTACTATTGATTAAAAAGAGTCTAAAGTTGGAACAGATAGAAGCCTTTGTTTAAATTATTTAATTCTTTTTTTAGGTGTCAGTCTATTTATAGTAGCCACACATGAGATAGGACATGCACTGGGATTGGAACATTCATCCGACCCTACTGCGCTGATGGCGCCCTTCTACAGATATGTTGAGGATTTCTCGCTCCCTCAAGATGATATAAATGGCATCCAATCAATTTATGGTAATAATATAATCGATATATTTAATACCTTACGATTTTAGCATTATCGATATTATCATTATTCCGTAAACGTGAGTCGGATGTAAAGATACAGAAGTTTTATCAACATTAATTATACTATGATTAAAAATTATTTCATACTAAATTTTGCAAATTGTTTGATAACAGGAGAAAAGGTGAAGAAAGCCAAGCCAACACTGCCCTCACCGACCGAGTCTTCCACGCCCAATGCAGAGGGAGATGAAGACCCATGTAACCGAGCATTTGATGCTGTGACAGTCATACGCAATCAGCTCTTTGCATTCCAGGTATTATATTAACTATTTTTTAATTCAGTGGGTCATGATACATACATGTGATTTTAAATGGTAAAAAAGTAGGGCTATCCCTAAATAAAACATCGATTCCAAAACTGCAACCCCTTGGTACGAAATCAAAGATCGACCCCGAAGCCTTGCCATAATTTATGAAGTTTAAAAACCAGTCAACTTTTTAAAATTGCCCTGGGTATTAACATTAATTTGTGAAGACTACATTGCTATTTCACCAATGTACTGGCCAAAAATGGTAGATTTCATTATACTATATATATGAGACGAGGTCTAATCTAAGCAAGCGTAAGAATGTGTAAGTGTAATACATTACCGTCATAATATTTCAGGTCGTGTTATAATAGCTCTCACCATAAACATACATTCGTTATACAGATCATTGATGTCTGCTGTGCACCTGAAGACATGGACAATTGGTATACCCTAAATAAATGATCCCACGATCCTTCCCTCCCACCATTGTTTAAAAAAAAATTAATTCGCTTCAGCTTATATCTTATACGATTTATTTTCCTTCTCCCAATGTTATCACACTGTAATGTTGTATTACCAAACAGGACCATATATGTTAAACAGGTAGTTACATCCTCCTGATATAGGCCTAAATATTTTCAATGAATAAATAATAATAAATTAATAAATCGTCGTCTATTCAACAGTTTTCATAATGGACACAGGAGCTATTCTCTTATTTTCAACGAAATACCACAAAATCAGTGATAAACCCTCTTTTACATTTTGTTTACTTCTCAGGGTAACCGTTATTGGCGGTGGGAAGATGGCAAGGGTCCCGCAAGAGCTCTTATTACATATGACACGGAAAAGGGTGACAAGACAAGCAATATGTTTAAATATTTACCCAAGAAGATTGATGCTGTTTACGAAAGTTTTGTCGGATTTAATATATACTTCTTTGCTGGTAAGAATACTGTCTCTTATACACATCTAGATGTGTATAAGAGACAGGTGTGGAGTAGGGTGACGATGTGTGTATTATATACCTATTGATACAGACCAGATGTTAAATACAGTATTTGATTTTTAAAACTAAACATTCTTACACCTTAAGGTTGAGAGTTAGGCGTGTGTATGCAAACTTAAATCTTGATAATAATCATTTCATGTATTATACAATAGTATCATTTTGATTGGATTATGTATTAAGCCCGGCCCCTGTCCAAAATATATGACATGCCTAGATATGGTCCTGATGACATTATATCATAACCATAATAGGCCATGATTATATATGGGTATACAGTTTTTTTTTTTTGTCAAAGACAATGTAATAGTGTGGACAAAGTTTTATAGATTGTTGAAATCCCATTTAAAATCACCATTTTTTCCTCTTTTATTTTCATCTACATTTTTTATATTATTTATTTTAAAAGTGAATATTTTGTTTTCTAAAATAGGAGATAAATACTACCAATACCATGGCAACAAATATACTACATCTGGGAAAATCGAAGATTTGATTCCAGGCCTCCCGACGGATATCGATGCCGCCACTGCTATCGGAGACGAGGGCGATGTCTATTTTTTCAAGGGGTCTCATGTAATGATCTACAATGAATTTACGAAAAACCTTAGCCAACCAATCTTGACTGCCGACAGATTTGAAGGTGTCCCGTCTCAGCTCTCGTCTGTGTTTTATGAAGACGCTGGAAAAGGTGTGTGCACTAACTAACCTTAAATAGTTTTTTTTTAAATAAGTATCCAGCCAGGCCTATTATTTTATTAATTCTTCAAATAGTCAATTCTTCAATTTGTCGAGTAATAGAAATCAAATTCTTTGCAAAATATAAATTTAGCAATTCTTCGATAATTATTTTACTGGATTATTATGTATAATAAACATTTTTTAACGTTTTGAAAACAGTTTTGGAAAAAATGGACATGAATTATTACCTGACATATATTGCCTGAAAATTGAACTGAAGGCTTACTACTGTACATGTACTTTACTACAACACAGGAAAATAATGATTATGGCACCCGTGATGGCCGAAAACGCACTCTCAGATTTAAATTTGAATAATTTCTTTTTTTTCTCTCTCCATTTTATTTATTTATTTTTTAAAGATTAATGGGAGATGGACGACGGGCGGGCCGGCTTCTCCCCCTTGAAACCGTCTTACCACTGTACTACCCACCAACAAAAGCGTCTTTATTAACTTGCTTCTGTTGTTCGTTTCAGGTTTCGTATATTTCCTGAAGGATTTGCTATACGTAAAGTACTCAATGCCGAAGAATCGCATTTATGGCAATAAACGCTTTTTCAACGTCGACTTTTTAAAGTGCAACGAGCCTCTTAAAACCCGTCCTGCAGACGCTTCAGATCCAGAAAATGGAATGTTCTGTGTCCCCTTAGGAGATTTGTAGGCGTCAATCCCACTACCACAAATCCAGTGGTCCAGGCTTAGATCATCAGAGACCTATCTAACCAAAGACTTTTATCAAACGCCGAATTTTGCCATGAACAGGATTGTTTTTTGCTTGTTTATTTGGTAGATTCTTTGATGAATTCGTCATTGATTTTAGTCGTCTTGCAGTCTTCTTATTCGTTTACTAAAAAACTTCTATTTTTTAAATATTAAATAAATTATATGCTGACGATGAGTAGCGCTAGTCATCTACAGTGATAAGTGTTCGTAGAACACATTTACTCTGATAATTATTTAAATTATTTTTCAATATTATATTTAAACATTATATATTTTTAATTATTTCTTAATAAATAACCTATTTAATTATCTTCTGCATAGGCATATTTAATAAATTATTGTACATAGAGGATGACTTTTTGACGTTACATTTTGAAGTCACATTTCGCATGTTCACCACCGCAATATCAAAGATATAAAACATTTAAAATGTTCAGCAGAAGATAGAAGAACGATTTATTTTCTGTTTATATAACTTGGCGTCAGATATTTGGAGATCTTTTTTGTAATTTTAGACATAATAAAGAATATTTGTAACATGTGTAAATGTTTCTAATCACGCTCTTTTTTTCATTTCGTATTAGCGTACACTTAGGGAACAGCTGCAATTTGTAGCTTTGTCATGAATCTAAAAATAATAATTCTAAGAATTAATGGGACATATCAACATTATTCGTTTAGACAAAAAAGTCAACGGCTATCTCTTTGACCTACGGCACAATACCCGGTACAATACCACTCCTCTTATTACGTTTACTTTGCATTATTTAAATTACTGGATTATCAATCAATACTTTTGAACTTTAGGGGACTAATAAGTCAAGAGAAGGAATTGATAACTTCAAAGAGGGAACTAAACGAGGTCAAAGCAAGCATACCAGTTTTCGAATGATAGGGATAATTAACACATAGGGCCTACTATATCACACACTTCTGCCAAAACTACACATCAACACGGATGATATGATGAGTACCAGGATTCAGGACGGGTCGCACCCACCTATATTTTCGTCGTGTCAAACCTTTGAAGACTGGGTTTCGGAACGAATTATATTCATGCCCAATGGATTAACATATACTCATTACAAGTAGGCTTAGAAATATAGTGTTTGGTGCATTGATTTTATTACCTATCAGATACGGCCACGCAATTCTGTACTCCTGATTAGAATGTGTACAAAGTCAGGGCGGATTCAGGAAGAATAGGGCTGCAAACTAGTTTATCAAATTGTTTAAAATTTAAAACCAAAATCGGTACTAATAATAATAATAATAATAATAATAATAATAATAATAATAGTAACTGTAGTAATAGAATAACAGTAATTGTAAAAGTAATAATAATAATAATAATAATAATAATAATAATAATAATAATAATAATATTTAATAATATATAATAATAATAATAATAACTATAATAATAATAATAAACATAATAATAATAATAATAATAATAATATTTAATAATATATAACAATAATAAATGATTAAGTATGTACACATATACACGTGCTTTCCCATACCATGTAGTCAATTTATTTGGAAAAAGAAGTAAGCCATTGAACTGAAAGTTTGTGTTTGTATATCAACGTTAAGTACCGGTCATTTTCGTCATGGCGGTATCTTGGTTTGTTTATAAAACACTTAGCAAATGCTAACATAGATCATATTTTAACCATTCTCTTAAAATCATCAATTAATCAACTTCAAATGTATGTTATCAAAACGTCTTAGAAAGACGTCAAAACTTCAAATTCAACTGTGTTATTTTCGTTTTGACTTTGATGGAACATTTTCAAAAGAACTCTTCTCCAATAAACCATTGGAAGATTTCAGCTAACAATGAGAGAGAATAATAATGTACTAATAACAACAACAACGATATTATAAATAATAATTATGACGATAACAATAAGCCTAATAATAATATTAAATGAAAATAACCTTAATAATATTGATATAATAGTAATAATAGTAATAATATTAATAATAATATTAAAAATAATAATGATAATAACGATAACAATAACGACGATGATTATGATAATGATAATAATAATAGTAATGATAATGATCATGATGATTATAATTATTTGTTTATTTTATATGTTTATTATCATTTTAAAAGAGAAAGACATATCCCATTTCTGCAGGAACATTTTATATAATCAAAAGACATTTGAAAGGCCTACAATGCAATAACACTTGTTAAAATCTGACAAATAAATATAATATCTTTTGGAATTAAATTAAAATACATAAGCGCTTTATTTTCTAAAAGATTGCTTAAAAATTGCTAAACCAAGTCGAGGAATAATAATGATAATTATAGTAAAACAACTGTGTTAAGTGGGGCTTTGTTAGATAGAATGAATCTGTTAAATCATAATAATAATCACATTTTTTTTAACGATAACTCATTAGTTTAATTGACCGTCGGTCCATCTAACCACTCTTCTAACCATCCATCCATCCATCCATTTATCCATCCATCCATCTATCCATCAATCCATCAATTTGTTCGTTCAATCGTTCACTTGCGCTTCTATTTATTATTTCGTTCGTTCGTTCGTTCATTCATTCATTCATTCGTTCGTTCGTTTGTTTGTTTGTTCGTTCGTTCGTAAGTTCATTCATTATTCATTCGTTCATTCATTCATTTATTCATTCATTTATTCATTCATTCATTCATTCAATCGTTCATTTGTTCATTTATTCATTTAATCATTCATTCATTCATTCATTCGTTCAAGCGTTCATTCGTTCATTCATTCATCATCGATTTATTCATTCGTTCGTGATTTCGTTCTTTCATTCATTTATTTATGCATTCATTCATATAATGCATGCATATCCATGTTTTACGTAACTATTGTTTATCAACCCAGCATTAGGACTATGTCATAGTGCATAAATTTTCTTCATATTGGTTAATGTAGTAAACGGTACTTTTATCCTATAGTGTAAATGATGTTTCCTTAAACTTAATTGATCCGTTTTCAGTCAACCGCAACCTATATTATTGTACAGTATAACTCTCCCATTGTTGACAGGTTCATCATAATCATAATCATCATCCTCATCACCACCATACTATCATATAATAATTTTAGTAAGGACCAAAAGTTCGTGAACATTTACCGTCCAGACGCGGTCACAGATCTAAAACTAATAATAATATAGTAGCACCATTTATGGGTATAAGGAGTCTTATCATTGACTTTTTTTTTGTTTAGATTCTATTTAATATGTTCATTTAAATGTCGTAAAAAAAATTTTACCAAATAACACGAATCTACAAAATATCTGAGGAGGACTTGTCACACAACACATGTGAGGATTCATTATTCAAATTACGTTAGTACAGTACAGTGGAAGGAGCAGAGTAATATTCAGTAGGCCTATGCAATAGGTAAGTGAATTGTAAAACTTCAGTGAGTGCGGTTGATATATACACGTATATGTTCACTAAATATAAAGGAATAAAATATCATAAAAATACCATATTAGTCAATAAAATAAGTCAATACGTCACGAATAAGGATTGTCCACATCTATCATAACATGTTAGCTTGTACTGTATAATTCCGTGTTTACCATATTGTCTATCAGTCGTTTACAATACCTGCTTTTGTCAACATCATAGACGAAATTATTGGCTCAGAGTTCTTCATTTAAGAGGTAATTTGTCTTTCATTTATAAAGGTCTTTCATTAGCAATGTTCATAATTATGCTGTAGAATGTTAATGTTGTGTATATAGTATGGCATTATTATTTGGCGAACTTGGACCCACAAATTCATTACAGTTAATTAAACATGATACTCATCTGGGCGGATTCAAACGTGGTGATGGCCGCCGGCGTCTCCCACAATATGGGAGGGTGACAAGACAGAATAAGGTATTCATTCGAATAAACGCTCCGGGGCGTTTGTTGTTGGGAAGGGTTTTCGAGGAGGCGTTTATTTATTTTGTTTTTGTGTAAAATGTATATGTATACTCTAAAATAAATGCTCCTTCACAATATTGCGTCAAAATGTGTTATTTGCGTCATGTTAAAGACCAGGTTAGAAAAAATGTAATTCTACTGGAGTAGAACATTAATAAAATATGCTTCCATTAAATTTGATTAGTCATTTTAGTGGGATTTCTTCAAGAAGGTAGGGAGGCGTTAATTCCAAATGATGCTTAGAGAGGGCGTTTATTTAAAACAGGGCAATTATGTACTTAATAACAGTGCCCTTTTTTTCTGCATCCCCACGTGCAAATATCGCGATCCGCTTCTGTACCGTACTTCACAGATCGCTAGGGCCGCCGAAGTGGGCATTTTCGTGAGTCTAACTAATTAATATAAAATACAATAATTATATGCAGGGTAAATTGAAAACGTGAATAGGCCATTGATTAAATACTGTTAATGGAAGGTACCAGGCTATGGTGGATAAATATTTCAACCTTGCAAGAATTCAACCGTGGCATAGTACACATTCTACATCAATAGGACCTACACACCGCCAGGTGCAATTCGCAACCAACGTGAAAATTAACTTCGCACTGCAAAAATATTAGTTTCATACTTTAAAACGAATGTTTAATTAATACGTCGGTGAAATGACCATACCATTCTATAATGTAATTAATGGGTGTCAGGTTATGCTACAAATAAACCAATCACCTTGAAAATGTAAATTTGTTCATTTTGATAGAAAATGTCAATAAAGGTTCGCCTTTAAGAAATTTACAAATATTAAAATATAATAGTGATGAGGATGATAATGCAGTAATAATAAAAACAATACAATAGAGAACAGGGTAATAATATTACTTTTTTATAATGGATATCGTCAAATATTAGTTCTATGAAGGAAATTTCTCACTGCAGCCGTCTTAGTTCTTGAAGACCGAATTTAGGGATGTATTTCGTTCCCTCGCACGCTAGGGCGTATCCAAAATTTCCTCACTTGGTCGCTAATTATTGTAAATTGTTCTCGTCAAGAAATTGGATTGGTCAATTATCACAATCTCTTTTTTTTTTTGGTATTGGTGTCATTCAAAGAAGAAATGTTGAGTGTAGTGTATTAACTATCGCCTTACAGCAAATACAGTAAAGGTTCGACTCCACATCAGTACTTTAAGAACTAGTGAAATTTGCCTTAAACTAGGCATACTTTTTTTCTCGTTGGCCAATGGTCATGTGTTTCGATTATTTCATTTGAGTAGCATTGCACTTAATTAACATTCTTTCTTTCAGGTAACATAAATTTATAAATAAATATTTGATTTTTTAAATATGCAAAATCACATAAAAGGTTTCAGTCACGTACATATTTTTTTTTCACATTTTTTTTTACCAAAGTACCTCACATCTCTTCACCTTATTAGATTATAATAAATTTAAATTTACTTAAGTATAGTATAAAATAAAATATAAAAACTGGTATAATAGATTTAACATACTTTATCCTTACTATATACCTTACTGTACGTGAAAGTACATATATTTATTTTCATTTTAGGAAAATCACTATCATTTTCGATCATTAATTTTTATCAATTACCATCGTTTGAGGATTTATCATTAGAAGGAAGCATATCCATGTTCATATGTTGTTTAAATGCTAAGGTAGTATAACAACAATTATTTTCGTTATCCTATTTCAAACGAGGGACCTTCGTTTAGTCAACGCATGACTTCGCGACACTGGTCGCTGATTGTGTCTCAATTGTTGCAACTCGATAGGTAAAAGTAGCCTACTTTTTTATACACCCTTAACTTTCGTGTCCGGGAGCGCAAATTAGCTCTCTATGGATATTGACAGTTTACTTTATGAAATGGTTAGTTGTGCATTCGCCAGCGGCGTGAATTAAGGCATTGTGTGCAGTACAACTCGTGGATTTAAACCTCCACGATCGCTAATAATAGCTGTTACGCTATGAGGCCAAATGTAATTTCCCATTAGAACACAATATTTCTTAAATCATTATATAATTTGTAGTTAATTGGTAAGAATGTGTCTTAATGTTTTAAATTTAATTCTGATGTATTGTAATATGCTAATCGCAAATTTTCAATTTTGTTTTCAATTGATTCAAATACTTTTCGCTATTAATACTAAAAACCAAGTCATAAGGTGTAAACTATTTAACAACATTAATTAACATGGCCTATATCTTTCAAAGGTTTCTTTGAATACTCATCCAACACTTAAATATGTTTGTATTGCTAAAAGAAATAAAATAAATAAATAAATTAGGAAAACAAAATGTTAAAAATGATCTAGATAAACATCATTTGTAGGTAACAAGAACGTTGGAAGAGGATATGTTAAATAATGCTGTTATTGAAAACAATTAAATATTAAGCAGTGCTAAACTAAACTCAAAATGAATAAGCATAGGCCTATTGAAAAAGGCCCTGTATGTCGGCCTATAAGGTTGTCTAATATTATATTTCAATTCAGTTTTTTTTTTCAATATTTATCAGTTTATCATAATTTTCCCTAATTCTTTTCATTTTCTTAAATATTGAAAAAGTGACGGTGCTGTTGTTTTGAACAAAAATTGTAATTATAATTAGCATATTGAGATATATCTAATGAGATAACTTATATTGCCATAATAACTTACAGTACATTCTGTAACATACAAAACAGAAGACAATTTCTAATTTGGGATTTTACCTACAGTGATTGAGATTGGGTACATGGTCACTGACATAGTTTAACACGTCTCACTGCGCATGTCTTTACTGACACTTCTTTCTGACTTGGTTAGGTTTGGTTGAACGATGATTTGGGCCTATAGGGAGTGGGACGTAAACGGGCTGTGAAAGGTGTTTACTAGAGGTACGATTGAGAGATAATGATGTGTCTTTTGGTGTCTGTACCAAAATTGGGCCTACATCCAAAGCTACCGTTTCGCAGTAGATGCTAGTCCAGCGGACACGAGCAGCATACATTCAGGAAGAAGTCCATGCTGCAAAGGTTAAAGGCGTAGTTTTTAAGTCAATCATCTTCGGCAAACACTCTTAGCTACCTGGTAACTTCCCGCGACCCGTGATCGAGCTGTCATTCGTAATCTTACTTTATTGATACTGGACGGAGGACAGATAGTCTATTCATCTGTTAGAAATAAAAAAGGAAGTTTTTATAGACAGTACATGATGCATTTAAAAGCTTTTTCAAATACTTGGACGAATTTTTAAGATTGAAATTAATTTTTATTATGTTGTATTTAGGAAAGGTGCCGTCAGAACCTGTTAAATTACATAGTCAAGAATGTGAAGAGGCAGCAGGGTTACGGAAATCAACCCGAACTGAAAAATAAAAATAATAACATAATTGAAAAGATAAAATTTACTTGAACTGAATAAGCTGGAGGAATATTTTCGTCATTTAAAATCCTAGGCCCATTTTTAATAGGATATGTTACCCAGAATACCACATACAGAATCAACAAACGACTTGCCTGCAATATCACCGACTACGTATGGTGGTATTGAAAAAGAGAGAACGAACAATACTGTACTCGATGGGAGCATTAAGCAGAAGAAAACATCTAAGCGAATTGGGCCAAGGGCCCCAATCAAACCAGTGCAGCGTATGGCTGCTAACGCCCGCGAGAGGGCTCGAATGCGTGTACTGAGTCAAGGTTTCTCGATGCTTAAAACTACGCTACCCTGGGTGCCTGCCGATACTAAACTCTCAAAGTTGGATACACTCCGCTTAGCGTCAAGCTATATTGCACATTTGCGTAGTGTGCTTGACGACGAAGAGCCACAAGATTCATCGGGAACTCATCCAATAAACCTCGTAAGTAGGCATTTTATCGAAATGATGTAGTAATTATCAAAATGATGTAAAGTAGTCTAGCCCTTAAACCAAATTCAGTGTTATGCAGTTAAAGATGTATTCTTGTTTGGAAATGACAAAAATTAAATTAGTTAAATAGACACACGTTTACCTTAATCATATACCTGATAAGGACGAAAATCATTGAAACACTATAATTAACTGTGAGTGTTAATTCCTCCCATTTTGTTGACCCGTAAACACACGTGTTGTTCCACAAACGCAAGTGTACGTACGTTTAGCTGTCGCTTTGTAGGACCATGCCAACAATTTATAATTACAATGGGAACGGCTTAGAGGAAAATTAATAACGTACTTATATTAAAGATCTACGGTACTATTTTAATAATCAATTCATTTCTTTTTTTGCAATTTTATTTCAACACATTTAAAAAATGGCAGTTGAACTATTTCTTCTCAATGATAATGGATTTAATGCATAACATATAAAGGTAATAAAGTTTCCCTTATGTTACATATTCACTTTGTTTCTCCATCCCCCGCTCTTCCCAGACACAATTTTGTTTCTTGTGTAACCCTCATCGTGTAAATTACCATTTTTTTGGTAATTGTCATTACACACAGATATTATAAATCATGTTATAGTTATATTCGTTCGGAAGAACACCACCAATTGTGATATTTTAAGATGGTATTAAATAATTGAGAAAATGGGACATACGTTCAAATTATTACCTAAAAGGGTATTTCCAAAACATTGGTTCTACTGCTACTATCAAACCATCTAATGGTTTTTTAATGTCATGGCAGCGTAATTTTGTTAAAATTGTATAGGCCTATGATACTTTAAAAATCATCAATGCTAGAATATTCACAGCAATTTTAGTCTGCCTGTCTATGGGGTTGAATTATTAGTGTTGACTTAAGGTGCTTGACCACAAACAGACCAATGCCACATGTCAGCAATGGAAATAAGCAATCCACATCATTTCCTTTTTTAAAATCTCCTAATGTACGAAGAGTCGGAAGAACAAAATGCATGCATTAAGTTAGCAGCAAGGGATAGTCAACTCTAAGGTAGAAATTTAAGTGATTGAAGTTAAAATGTCATATTTGATCATTGATATTTTCATCTTCCATTTTGTCTAAAACTATTAATTTTGTTGTTAATATTGATAGTAATCGACGATGTGTCGTGATTTCGTTGTACCAGTCCATTGGAATGATAACCGAATGACATCACGTTCGTTTTCATTATGCTGTACATAATATATGCTAATTGCATTGGGCTTATCTTTCTTAATTTTTTTTTTTTAAATTTGACTATTATACCCCTGCTTCGACTCATCTTACCAATCCTACTAGGTTATGGGATTCTAAATATCCAGACATATAGTAACCAGTGAAATTTTGCCTGGGCTCAGTGTTCTTATTTTTTGTACATTTCAGGCTCAAAATGTACTTACTTTGTTCTTATCCTACACACTTTTTAAAGATAGAAAATATTATTGTACAGCAGTATATTACTAAATTGTATTATAGAGGGTATTTCATAGTCACACCTACCACACGGTACCGTACAGATTAGACAACAAGAATTTTGTAATACTGTATACTCTCTTTAAATATTAATAATTAACGGTATGTGACTAGCTTGATTTGTTGGTTTTTCCCCCCACATTTTTGCATTACCTCAGCCTCAATTGTTATTATGTTATTCTTATTTTTTTCAATTTTAGCCTCGGTGTTCTAATAAAATGTGTTCTTATAAAAAAGAAAGTGTGAACAGGTAGACTTAAAACAACGAGTTCAGTAGTTCATACGATATAATAATGATACGATTAAATTTTTCAAAATAACACAGAATAATAGACCCCTATTCATCGTTTGATTATTCCTTCACTAAACAGTACACCTAGTGTCTCTGGATTTAAACAATAATTTAATATAAATTCTTGTATAAATTAAAAAAAAGAAAGAGTTTAACTGTTTTGTGGAAAAAGCAAATCCATCATAAGTCGACTGGCGTTAATTCCATTCCTTCATTAATCATTATGCCTTATTCTCTTTTGATTTAAACAATAATTAATATAAATTGTTAATAGAACAAGATTTAACTGCAAAAAGCCATTGCATGATAAGTCGACTGGCGTCAAACATCAGAGACGACTAGAATGGTGTGATCATTGATATATAAACTTTCTGCAGAATTATGCAACCCTTCTTCGATACCGAAGCCGTACACAAAACATGATCATTGCTTTGTTTTTCTTAGTGGATAATTTGCAAGTAGTAAAATAAACGTTACCAACAAGATAGCGTGATACTCGCACCCAGCCTCGGTGTCAACATGCACTCCAACACTAGATGTAGTTAAGCAAGGGTACGAATTAAATAATACTTCATAATTTACAACCGAATAAAATGTGTTGGTTGTAAGGTGTTTATTTAGACGTGCTTTTAAGAATGCTCTCAGGTAGTATAACTGGCATGTCCTTGAACCAATGTAGTGAGTATACACTTTATAAAAATAGAACTTTTCAGAACAAGACGGTGTTACATGAACACATCAGCGCACATATACAATATATTATGAAGTAATTGCAATGACACTCTCAGTATACTCATTCTGTTTTACGCTTTGGATGGGGCAAAGGCTGAAACTAGTTATAGGCTTAATACGACTGAAAATATATACAACACAGCCAAAAAAAGCCGTACTTTGAATTTTAGTTGTTTCATTTGAATTCAGATTTCCTTCACGGAGTTAGTCTGAAATACTAATTAAAGATCAGTTGAATAATAATTAGAGATTAAGATACCCCTTAAATAGAAAAAAAAAATTCACAAGTTGTCTTCTACATGTATTTTGTTAATTGAAATACCCTTTTTTTTCTAGAATGGAAATGTGGGTGAACGAAAGAAAAATAGAGGATGGGCCTATTGGATGGAAGGAAAGATAGGTGAAATGGATGAAGTTGATGGATATGAATGAATAGATGGATGGATAGAGGAATTGATTATTGTGTATTTTTTACTACTGTATATGGCCCAATTCGCTCCAGAGGCGGAACGATTGGTCATACCAAAATTCGATACTGTACGTAACTTAGTGCTAATGAAATGGAAATAACACTAAAGTTCAATGGAAGCCATTTTACTTGACATATAGACTGTCCCAGTTAGAATTATGATCTTAACACATTTTAAAAATTGTAAATTATACAATGATCTACCATTACCCTATTGGTATTTAGAGAAGAGATTATAAAATACAGTAATGTATCATTGTCCTTATTTAAAACACTGTATATGTACCTTTGATGATTTATATTATAATTATTTATTCAACAGTGTTAACGGCTAACTCCCTTCCATAACATAGTTCACTGTTTGCCTAACCGCATCAACTGCAAAATTAAGTCTGCCACTCTAAAAAGCATTATTGAAAGGGAATGTAGAAGTGCTTTTATTAGAAATATTTTATCTAAAGAAGCTTTAAAATAATAAAGTATTTTATTATTAGTTTTGCCTTTACATTCGTAACTTTTTTTTTTAATTTGGCATTTTCTTGTATTATGACAATCACCCCAGAAAATGTTTATTTAGCCACTCAATATGTAAACGGTTAGCGTATTAAAAGAAACCTGAGAACCTCAAGAATTCATATATTGGGTAGGTTATATAGGAAAGATATAGTATGAATGCATTGAGTAAAAAATGTTATTCTTCTTTAAAAACTTGATGTGGGAGGCAACGCCAATGCCTATTTACATTGTGAACCTTTCTAGGACAGTGGTGGCGCCAGTGATAATTCCCCGGTCGGGGAGAGCTTCTCCCTCCCTTTGTTTGAAAAAAAAAAAAACACAATTTGTCGGTCAGAAGATTAAATAAGCTTTTGAAACTCTTAAATTGTCATAATATTCGTGGGCTTCGCCCTTTGATCACTTACAAAGAAATTTGAATGACGCCTGACCACGCCCACTTCGCTTTTATGGGCGTCGCCTCCATCCCCCGTCCTCGGGGAGATAGTGCTTCCCTGTCGGGCAAATTCTATCGCCACCCTGTTCCAGGATGTTAACAATCACAGTACCTCAATCTGTTTCTTTAATTATTTGATCCTCTTTAGTTCCAGTAAGCCGAGAGATTTAAGGGACAATGACCACATGAACCACGGCAAAAGAATCGAATTGTGTACGTTATTGAATTGAATACGCTTATAATTGTCATCAAGTGGAAATGTTTAAAATCATCGTCTACATGTTTTCATCAGGGGTTTTATTCAAATCCCTGTTGGTCGAATCCAAATGACAACGCCGCAAAAGGAGTGTACTTTAATTTCGAAACCCATTAGACTGACATACCGCACCGATTCTTGTGTGGCCTAGATTTTGGAATAATATCGTCCCCGTTGAACACAGTAAACTAACGCGCTGCCATTTAAATCCTTCCTCGTTACGACCCAAAGTAACTGTTACATAAACTTCCATTACTCGGTCCCTATAATTTTACGACTTCTCTTCAAGCTAACAAAGTTCTAAGCAGAAAAACAATTCAAAGGTCAATGCTCGTGTCATTCCGAAGTCTCAAAGTGTGAAGCGACTATAATCCTAAAAAGTCTTCGAAATGCGAAAGGTGATCTCTTACTACTGTACTTTAATGTACATGCTTTCTCGACAGACCTTATAGGCGATTAATTTTCCCAACACGTGGTTTGGCCGGTTGAAGTATATGAAAAGTAATGTCATGATAGCAAAATATAGGTACTAAATTCAGAGGTATTTATTTGGTAAAAATATGGTGATTTTCAGTTCCATAAATTAAAAAAAAAAGTTGTCCTTTATATCGCTTCCCTAGGCTATGGATAATGTTTAATAACCAGTAAATATTTAAATATAAAATCTCATTTTAACAAGTAACTACGCTAACCAGTCAGGACATGTGCGTGATAACCAATAATGATGATATAATAAACCATAATACAGAATGAATTATTGGTTTTAAGTTTTTAAATTGGGATTCTCGATGTCTGTGAAAATATAGGCCTATTCATTGCGTTTCAGTTTCTTTTAATCCCATTAAAATCGCAGCTGAGGCTAAATTACATAATATTTACAATGGAACATTAAAAAAAATTGTAAAACATTAACCAATCATTAGCACATCATAATATTTACTATATTACCGTACTGGATTTAACGTTCACTGTCAGGTATATTTTACTTCATTGATTATTATTTCCATTGTTATAGGCTATTAATTTGCTATCAGTATTTATTATTATTGCAGATAGATCAATATCATTCATTTAGGATTGAAGTAAGAAATGTATTACAGTCTTTCTAATTTACCCTTTATTCTTTTTATGGTGAATGACGAAGAACAATCTAGGCCTAATTTATCGTGTGCATTTTACATGATGAATGCTTTCAAAACCTACGTGAAAAAAAATGACACTGGTTTTTAATTATTTAACATAATTTTCACCTGAGTCAGTCTAATTTTTGGTTCTTGTTCATTTCTTTTACAGTAGAGTACACACAAACACACACACACACACCCACACACATACC